TTTGTTAACTTAACTACCGATAAACACACAACTCCAGATTACTTAACAGTTAGTCGATAGGTTGCGTCTTCTACCTTAGAGACTGCAAAAGCTTGGCAGTATTTGAAACCGCAGACACGTGCCTTGCGGACACTCAAGCCATCAGAGTTCGTCCGTCTACACCGTTCAAGAGCCGATGTTGATTAACAGAGTACGATATGGCAACATGGGCAGCGTGAACCCAATAGATGTGCTACTGATTGAATTTAAGTATCACCTCAACCGTCACAACACCAAATCGTTTACCGCGGTTTTAAACTGGTACGGTCATCACATGCGCCGGCCCCCATTGCCATCTTGCAATGATGCAGAAATGTTGAAGTAGCAAAATGTAACAGGCGAGGTATCAGTTATTACAGACGGAAGACTGCTACTTTGCATTACTGGGACATGGGAATTTTACACGACGCCCGTTCCCAACGCGCGTTGAGCATTGCTGGCCAAGTGACAACAACTTAGAGCAAGTGCTACAGTTACCGTGGCTCACTGAGACATCCCGGTAAGTGCTTGTTGTCATTCTGTACTGATTTGCTTTGAAGCAATTGAAAAAACAAATACTACTTACTTTATTTGGAGCGTTGCGTTCATTTAGGCCTGAGACTCTGCGGAGCCCTCCAGCACTGCACCCAGGATAGTCCAAAGATATCCATCGTACGCTCCTAAATTAAGCAAGGATGCACATACATTGCTTTAGAGGGGAGTTGTCTCCGTGTGGTTACTAACTTGCAGTGTCGGCAACTAACCTCAACAAGCACATACAATTAGTTTGACGCTACAGGTGCCTCGGCCTTATGGACCGTTTTCAATGCGTTCACTTGCACCGTCCAGTTGTTCACAAGGTTTGCCTTAGTAATTTGTGTGTCGGGAAGCGTTTCATGAAAGTTCCTTGTTGCGGCCTGAAAACCGGAGCGCGTTTCATTCTGTATAGGGGTGCTAGAAGGAGGACTGCCCTACACCGAAAACGTTTGTCCGCATGCAAAACTATACAGTATAGTCATGGCAGCGAAGCTCGTATACGACGTGGGGAGGTGTGGTACTACCGTAGGTATCCATTAAAGCGGTTGCATTGGTAAGGATGAAATATTTGCATTGGGTTTAAGTGCCGTTGGTCGCGACACATGCATCACTAATCCGCAGACGTTCATCTACCAACGGGACATCGTCGGATTCTGTATTATCGCGAAGGTGGTATCTAATTGACTGATGATCGTACCTATTAGGGTGTTTGGTGAGATGACGAATCACCTTTTGGTTAACTCCTTCATACGTTTGAAAAGTACAGAGTACTGAATACGGACCGGATGACGCACAAATTGCATTTTCCATCCGCAACCTGCGACTGTGGATTGGAAAGTATGCGTTCAAGTCAAATGGTAATGTGGGGGAAAGTTCTAGCATTCAAATCAAAATGTATGTACCTACCACATACATTCCATTTACTCACACAACGGACGCAAAAGCAGTACCAGGGATTACACACAAAAACTATCCGGTAAATTAGTAGTTGTCATGTTTCAGTGTGCCTAGGTAGTTAAGATGGAGATGCTGCTTTTATAATTTGAAAGCTCTAGGTTATTCAACGATGAATAGTCTGCACGACGTGTCACCAAAACAGTGATGCAGTTCCTTGGCGTGACGCTGAAGCATACCCGCTGGTGCGCAGCAAGTGGCAGTGTGTCAACCGCGACTGTCAGGGGCGACCGTTCACGAAGGCGACTCTGGCACCCGCGCTGACGCGGATCTTCAACTGGTGAGTTGTGAGTAGAAGTGACAACCGTGCGCCCATTTCACAGGTACACCTATGGTTTGAATAACACAATGAAAAGACGAATACTGGCAGACGCACGCATTTCGTTTTGCCTTCCCAGTACCGACAGCATAACGAGACATTGTCTTATACCATTCAAAGGGCGTTACCAATTAATCAAATGCAGTGAAGTGAACGGTGGCGATGGTCCTAGGACCATGCCAACCGAAGCTCAACAACTAGTTGTTTCTGCATACGCAGGGCAAGTCTTAGCTGGCTTATCGCTACTGCCTCGGTGAACCGCAAGAAACGTGCACTGGGATGACGTATTAATATCCGTAATGCGGAGCAAGGGTCCATCTGATGACGGGCGAATGAAACATATCTGCCTATTGATGACGCTGGCGGTTTGCGTGCACACGGAATATTGGGAGAGGGATGGCTAACCTCCCGTTGTTTGACCTCACGCTGAACCCAATTGGGCAGGGGCTCCTTCACACTATAATTCGAAACCTCTCAGTCCTGCCTATGTAGCGGACGCCACAGTTACCCTCAAATTGGTAACCACAGTGTGATTTGGCGCTGACGGGTTCCTCTTTCTTTACTGAACATAGCGACAGCTTCCGGGTTCTGTTTATCACCACAGCATCTGTAGCACAGTAGGTTCTCTGAATGGCAGAGATTAAAAGTTTGGTTATCCTCGTTGTGGCGACGTTAACCTTAAATCGGAGTTCGAGATATCCCTTTTTCTTAGATGCATCCTCCACTGCCATGCAGGCACCTGCCATGCAGATGACAGCGGTCGGCCTTCCGGCCTCAGGATGCGTCGGGCTATATCGCATTTAGCTAACAATTCACGATAGTTAGATACCGTCCTCCATGGCGCAGTTGCATAAGCTGCGGGCTAGTTGGCAAAAGCCACTAGCAGTCATGGATTCGATCCTCCGCAGAGGACCGAAGGATGCGCACCACTGATGAGCCCCAATAGGGCGAAACGGCCGTCTGGTGCTTTTCCGGACAGCTGGTCGACATATCTGAATTGTCGGCTGATTGTGACGAACAAAACGCGCCAATTTATACTGCGGGGAATTCACCATTGCTAAAATTGCCCAGAGCGGCATCCCTTGCTTGTACATCTTCGACAGCCCATAAAGCTGTGGCGTGGATGAACCATTCGGCTTAGGAGCCTTGTAAGTCTCGTGATCGATGACAGAAGTAGTTCTAAATGGCGGCCGATACGAAATTCCACCTCAGACAGGCTTTCTGGTCGATCGATAGGTTGCCATTTGCTTTCAAAGCTCAGTATGCCCAAAATTTTTTGAAGGTATTCGTTTCTGTTCATGACCACTGCGCATGAGCCTTTATTCGGTTTCAATACCACCACTCTCTTATCCTTCAGCTCTCGTAAGGTCTACAAGTGTCTGCTTGTAAGCACTTATTTCTTGCTCACCGGTACCATCAGAACCACATGAGTGATGTCAGTCAGATAGTTTCTAAAACAATGGTCAGCGTCTTGGCTGGCTGGTTGGAGCTTTGTCAACTAGTCGAAAATCTCCCAAATTGTGCTTGGACGAATAGTCGGTTCATCTTATTAGGAGTGACTTAGTAGTCAAGACCTAGAGATAAGGTTTCCAATTGTAGACCATCAAGTTGCATACTTGAAACGTTCAGAACCTAGTTACCAGAAGTAGGAGTAACGTTTTCCCCATTGGACTTTAGCAACATGTGCGTAAACGCTGTTTGCACTTTTTCTTCGTACGATCAAGGACCGTGTTACAAAAAATTGGTGAAGACTATACGATAAAACAGGGAGAGACCATCCAGTACTGAGATCAGATGAGTGCGGGTGTCCATCGGGCTTGTTAACTTGGACTGTATTGTATTCCACCTGGTGGAAGCAATACGATTGGGGTTCGTGTTACAGCAGGGGTCCAAACATTTTGCAAGGGGAGCCACATTCTGTGAGGTAAGAGTATGTCGAGCCGTATTCTGTCTGACATAAAGATAATAACCAAAATTACACATGTACGAAAAATATAGTATAGAGAAATATAGTACTGCATGATGAGGCGGCGGGTCAGTTTTAATGTTAACGCGGGCCAAATGCGGTCCGCGTGTTAGAGAGTTTATATTCGTATGTACGCAACGTCTTCCGCATTGATCGTGGACACCAACGCAATGTAACACACTCCGAGAGAAAGGGTACTTCCGCACGTTTGCGTGCAAGCTTGCACCTTAGGTGGACAATATGATGCAACAGGCCAATGGTCACATTGGGAATTCGTCGTCTATGGTTATTCGGTTTGACACACGCTTTGAAGGCCGCACCGGTGGATCAAAAGTTGACATATGCAACCGTGGGGGTTGGGATATGTGGTTTGATGCGCTGTCTCGCGTCCAACAACACACCATGAAGCGTCGCTCATTAGTACACGTTGTGTGCTCGAACGGTAATATGCAACCTACACTTAGAGCACAATCTATTTTCAAGTATGTCGCAGCCAGCGTGATCGGTTGGACTTTAGCTTGAAGTGAATAAATTGTAGGCGGGTGTTCCAGAGAACACAGAAAATAGGTCCCTAACCGTGGTGACATGCCCTGTATGCGAAAGTCGGTGGTCCGTGGATAAAAGCGTCCACTAATAATCTACATGTTGAAAAATACTTGGAACCGATCGAGAACTCATGATTGCAAAAGGGTTTGAAAAAATTAGTTGGTATAGTTTAGTGGGCTGCGTCTGGTAGTTTACACGAAAACTTTGTCAGACCGAATAACCAGTGGATGGTTGGTATAATACTCATAGCAAACTGGAAAGATAACCGCGACGACTGACAGTGAAGAGAATACGGAAAAACAGGTCATTAACCGTCGTGGCAAACGTTGTCTGTGAGGATCGATAGTTCGTGAATTAAAGCGTCCACGGACGACTTGAGCGTACCACAAGGCAGTCCCAACTCAGAGTATTTTCCCGAACAATCCAAATTAAGATAGAGCAGTGATGCAAGAAACGGACAGCGATGTCTGACACATCACCGACTAGGTGATATAAAAGTGTAGTAGCAAGCAAAATAGTGTCGGTCGTTGAAGTGCCAAACGAAGAATATGCTGTTACACGAAGCATATTTTCACTGGATAACAATAATAATAGGAAATAATGCGGAAAAATAATGCGCGATCCGCAAGAGGGTTAAATCAGTACATCGATTATTTTCAGGTTTTTTAACGACGTGTGGCCGCTGGCGATATATCACAACAGGTTCGCCGAATTCCGGACAGAATTACGGGAATTGCTGCATTCACATACGGTAAGTAAATACGATGTAGAACGCGTTACACCTTTAATTAATGATGTCTGGGTCATACATTTAGTCTAACACCAAAGGACTCTCCTATTCAAATTGAAAGTTGGATGATGCAATTGTGCGTTTGTTGAAAAGCTTTCATGGGGAGAGTTGTCAGTGTAACACAGAGAATATGGCAGAAGTCCGGTTGGTCTTGTCTTATGATATACAGTAAGAGAACAGTGAGTAAAAAAGGTGCGCAAGGAAGACAGCGGATTGCAATGATTGACATCATTATCTTCAATACGGAGTTAACAGTGTTACTGTTTCTCGCTGAGTCACGACACAGTTCAAGCAATCCTCCGACTAACAGGAAGACGGTTAGTGGATACGTTAAGAACTCTACTCTTGTTGATAATAGACCTAGGTACTCGTGAATTATACAAGCTGCGTTGCAATATAACAGACTCACGCACCATCCGGCATTTATGCTGTTTTCATCAAGTTTACCCGGCATTTCGTCTTTCTTTTGCACAGACGAATGGGATAAACTCACTGACGGAAAAAATCCAGCACTTGATTGCCGAGGGCGGAGAGGTAAGACTATGGTGTAAATTCACGTTTATATATGTATAAATAATGTATATATAACTAAATATACACCTAAGGCAATTGGTCTATGCTGGTGCAATTGCCAGAGTGACAAAGCCTGGATAAGAATAATACGGTGAGAAAAAACTACTGCAAATCTGTCGTCATTGAAGTAGGGTCTCAAAACGTGTCTGACATCGGGTATCGCTGCATGTGATATCCGAGAGGGTTTGCAGCCAGTCCGGGCAACGGCCAATTTCAATGTTAGCGCTTTCAAGCTCGTGACCCAAGTCATTCATTCGTTGACCACTTTGATTTCCCTTTCAGCTGGCTTCTACGACCATAAAAAGGGCACTCTGAGGTAAACGCTGTGCCAACTTACGAACCACCGAAGCACACGTAGTGAAATTAAGCGACTCAGTGTCACAGAGTTATCCTGATTTGACAATTCGTCGACATTCCTTCTAATATCAGGTTGTCATTGTCGGCCGGTGGCCGAGTGGTATGCGCGTCTGGTTTGCAACCATAAGGTCCCGGTTCGAATCCGCGTGGGGGCGGGCACCCTCGCGGTATACCCAGCCCACGCGCGACCGGTGTTAGTCGCGTGGCAGCGAAGCGCCGTTACGGCGTACAGCTGGCGACTTATTTTATTTATTATTTACCATAAATGCTCGGAAGACAGTGGTGACCAAAAGCAGACATCATATGAACAGGCCAAGTCTAGCTGCTAAAGAGTATGCTCGCTCTCACCGTAACAATGTAGACTGGACGCTGTGGAGAGAAGCAGAGGTCGCATGGATACCAGAAAACAGCAAAAGCAACCCGATCTTTAGCGACGTCCTGAGATCTTATCCGTTAAACCACTGAGAATGAGGCAGCTTCTTAGGTTAAAACTTCGTGCCGCTTCCAAGAAATAACTCGAAAGGGTGAGAGTGGGAGCAGCTCTTTGTCAGTCTTGTAGAAAAATTTAGCACTTTGAGGAGACGTAGATCATGCCGAATTGAAAGACAGACACTTCCAACTTATGCAGCATATCTTGAATGGTCCGCGATGAATAGCTAACTACGGTGATGTTGTCTGTTTACTCCAAATCGCGAAGTGGGTCCGCCGAAAGTCGCAACTGTCCAGGATGTCATCCATAGCGAAGACGAACAGGAAATTGGATTCTGGATAGGCCTAACGCCAATGGTGATGCTAAAGGGGGGGGGGAGTTCGCCTTACATTCTCACTCAGCCCTAGGTTCGAAAACAGTTGGTTCGAAGAAAGTTGACATACTTCCCAGGCCCTCCCTTCTTAACAGATAAATCTAGAGAGCAGCTCGGTCAACTGAATCAAACACGGCTCCTATGTATAAGAAGACAACGATCGTTGGCCGGCCATACTTTTGACGACACTAGAATATTTGGCGGAGCGTAAAGATGTGACCAGTGCAGATTCGGCCATAGTGGAACCCAGCTTGCTCTTCCCATATGCTCTGTTCACGTACCAAAAGCAGCCTTCCTAATAGCAGGGTAATGATCATTTTGGAAGCAATGCAGATGAGACTAACCCCTCGATAGTTAGCGCAGTCGGTTCGGGTACCTATTTGGAGGACCGGTGCGATATCCACTTGACTCTTATCGCATGGATGTACTTCGGTGACCCAAATCTCTAGAATGAGAGGAGTTAACTCCTGAAGAAGTGACGGGCCTCCATCTAAAAGGAGCCGGGCTTTGTAGTGCTTCAGAAGGCGAAGGTCACAAGTAGCTTCAGCCTGATAGCCGCGAAACGTCTATACACCAGGTGGCATGGAGAAATTTCGTTTAGGAACTCATCTGTGCCGATGGCCAGTTAAACTACTGTTCAAGGTGCTCAAGCTAACGCATAAGTCGACGTGATTGACAGCGGATCCATTAGGCCATCGGTTTCCCAAAAAACTGCCTACAGTCGATCTGTTACCGCCAGTGGATAAGATCAAAAGAAAAAGCTCACAAAAATTCCACGAGGTGATTGCTTGCTTCTTCACGAAAACCCGGTGCATCTACCGGGCCTCACAATTTTCCCAGAGCTACCTGAGTTTGGCCTTCGCAGTGCTGAGTAGTAAATGATACTCGAAACCAGCGGGAGTCGTTCGACCAGATTCAAGAAGCTGAATGGATCGTGCAGAAATTCAGTGGCTGACAGGACAATTAGTGAAACAACAGATCAAGGTAGCAGAGTTGTGCATGGCGCTGCGAATGTGTCTCAATTGTGTCTGAATACCGGTGCATTCGACACACCTGAAGTCTGAGGCCAACGAAACCTGAAGAACGCTGATAACGTTTGGGGTACAAACATTGGTCACGTCGAGCCGTTTCTGGTGACACTGTTGGCCGCAACGGAAAGGCAGAGTAACCTAAGCACATACGAGCGCGTGCTCAGAAATCAGATGGGTATTGTAAATTGATTTGTGATCCACGCCAGTGGTAACCGATGAGAATATCGTCAATTTGCGTCCACAGCTGTTCAAGTGATAGGGTCGCTAGGTGAAGTGCTGACGCCAGGACCACCGAAAGTTGGTGCTAGAGAGAAATAGGCCATGATCAGCACAGAGTTGAAGTAGGCGACCATGGCTTTCCGTCTTGCGAATACCATGGTCATCGTGAGCATCCGGGTTCACTTTAGCCTACTCCAACTCTTCCGATTTGCGCGATTAGATCTCCGGAAAGCACCACGACGTCTGCGCGTCGCTCTTTTCGAAGAAGGCAGGCGGGCTGACATAAAAACTTATCTTTAAGACATCGACAGTACGCCAGTAGGTAGTGGCGACGCTTCGATGCCGCGCAACTGCCACTAGTCGGGCGTGAGATGGGGATACTGGGAGGGTTGCCCGGTCCCCTACGCAGGTTCGAACCCACACCGTCGGATTACAAGGCAGACTTGTGATCCTTAAGGCTATGGGCCGGCAGGCTCATAGGTTGGAGCATGCGCAGCTACAACGAAAACATCTGCTTGCTACGCAGCTGGACAGTCGTATTGAGGCTCTTAGTCGAAGCATGCGGAGTAGGCTGCTTTCAGGAATCCAGTCGCATAAGACTGTCCCACACGTGCGCCCAAATCAGTCCCCACGACAGCAAGACCAGCGGCTTCGGTAGTTAAGTCTACAGATAAGCGCAACTCGAAAATTCCAGCGGAACGCGTAAATGGCGAAACCAATCGTAGCGTAATGCTAGAGCCCTGTAAATGGGTTTCAATGAGGCAGCAAATATCAACGTTGATGGTACACTCAAGGGATGCCTGTGATTCGATTTGCACCAACGGCCGAACACCGGAGGTAATCAGCGTGAATTGAAAACGCGGCGCTAAAAATAATTGCCAATACAACTGAGCGACGCACCTTCAAACTTAGGCTCCTGATGGGTGAGGCAAAGATACTCGCCAAGTGCTGAGACATGTGAACTCGGAAATGGAGAGGCTACAAAGGATAGTGGATGAAGCAAACGTTGAATAAAGTAACTGGACTGTGATGCGGTAGACCGCTGCAGCCCGCATCTTGGCGGAGGTTAGCAGTTCTAAATAGCACAGAGTCGTTGAACCATCGGTTGCCTAGGCCAAGGAGAAGAGTTGTCTTAGGGGATCCCACTGAGAGCCTTGGGTCACGAAGAAGTGCCACATAATGCAACGGGGCGACTAACTTATATCGCGAACCGTTGGCAGCCGGCTACTTAAGTGGGGATAACAGCTTTGAGAGGAAACAAACCACTCAGGACACCCAAAAAGCCTGAGTATAGTGGCATGTAGACCAGGAAGAGTTTAATTTATCACCGAACTCGCCACTAGGCACGTAGGCCGCTGGCTCATACGCTATCATATTGTTCAAGGTTCACATAGGCTTACTGTCGAGGTTGTTCATCCGCTCTCCTTTAGGCACTCACCTAGTTGCAAAACTGAGTGGTCGTGACCCTATAAGCGGCCACACTGGCTCTTATAGTGTGTAACGGCGAACCTGCCCAGAACCAGGCACGTTCTAAGACCTTTTCGCTGAATGCTTACTCATCTCACTTGCGAACAGCCAAAGCTTATGCACAGTTAGATTCACAAAGAGCGCAGTCTCCCGAAGCAACCAACGAAAGGCTAAACGAGTGTTAACGTAAAAATGTAATAGCCCAATAAACGTCCTAACTTTAGCCTGTACCGACGCGCCAGGTTGTCTTAGTCGTGTGTGTAACCTGCCCGAGCTATTAGAACATGAGGCAGAAGCGAGTCATTAAATCTCTGCTTCAAGCGACTGAAATCGTATGTTCAAACGATGTCAGTAGATGACTTCGGCATTATCTTCAATCGCTGTGGTCATTTGCCACAAGTTGGCCACCAAAAGTTCAATGGTCCTCCTAAACATAAGCGCCGTTAGGGAGGACTAACCCCAAGTACCGCTCAAATCTAGTCTCATACAGGAAGTTGCTTAAGTGTTGCAAATACAAGGTCACAGGCGAAGCTAACCCGCATCTTTTGTGAGGGACATCCATAAGGTCAAGGGAAGCACACCAATTCGCGCCTAAATGACTGCGATGCTGAGTGAGGCTAATCGACAAGCCTTTCTTCTCCAGTTGCATTGGTGGCCGCACTGCAATTGTTGCGTTGCCATCCACACAACGTCAGTCACTACCTGTGATGCAGCAAGGCTGGAGTGCGCACACGTGCATGGCGGGTAATAATGAACCAAAACTATAACATTTTACACGCATATTAGCGTATTCTACCAAGCTTTTAGCGTGGTTCATTTTCGAAATCGCGTGCGGTGCTTTCAAGTTAGCGAGGCTGAGAACGCTGATTTGGCGTCCTTGACACTCTCATTGGTTATGGGACGTAAACCAATGGGACACCGGTTAGAAGCTGCCAGCATAACCGACAGTCAGTCCAATGAAAGTGGTCGAGCACCACCTTCCGTTCTGCCCTGATGCCCCTCTGGAGTAAACCTCGATGATTGGTCTCCAACCTGAAACCGACCAATAAGTAAATTGTGATGCGTGTCAAAGGAGGAGATGCTA